GCAAAAGCTAAGAGAACTCAGCACCACCAAACCAGCTCTACAACAAATGCTAAAGGAACTTCTCTAAGTAGGAAACACAAGAGAAGAAAAAGACCTACACAAACAAACCCAAAACAATTAAGAAAATGGTCATAGGAACATACATATCGATAATTACCTTAAACGTGAATGGATTAAATGCTCCAACCAAAAGACACAGGCTTGCTGAATGGATACAGAAACAAGACCCATATATATGCTGTCTACAAGAGACCCACTTCAGACCTAGAGACACATACAGACTGAAAGTGATGGGGTGGAAAAAGATATTCCATGCAAATGGAAATCTAAAGAAAGCTGGAGTAGCAATGCTCATATCAGATGAAATAGACTTTAAAATAAAGAATGTTACAAGAGACAGAGAAGGACACTACATAATGATCAAGGGATCAATCCAAGAAGAAGATATAACAATTATAAATACATATGCAACCAATATAGGAGCACCTCAATACATAAGGCAACTGCTAACAGCTGTAAAAGAGGAAATCGATACTAACACAATAATAGTGGGGGACTTTAACACCTCACTTACACCAATGGACAGATCATCCGAAATGAAAATAAATAAGGAAACAGAAGCATTAAATGACACAATAGACCAGGTCGATTAAATTGATATTTATAGGACATTCCATCCAAAAACAGCAGATTACACTTTCTTCTCACGTGTGCACAGAACATTCTCCAGGATAGATCACATCTGGTTCACAAATCAAGGCTCAGTAAATTTAAGAAAAGTGAAGTCATATCAAGCATCTTTTCTGACCACAACGCTATGAGATTAGAAATGAATTACAGGGAAAAAAACATAAAAAACACAAACACATGGGCTAAACAATACGTTACTAAATAACCAAGAGATCACTGAAGAAATCAAAGAGGAAATCAAAAAATACCTAGAGACAGGGTTTCCCTGGTGGCGCAGTGGTTGAGAGTCTGCCTGCCGATGCAGGGGACACGGGTTCGTGCCCCAGTCCGGGAGGATCCCACATGCTGCGGAGCGGCTGGGCCCATGAGCCATGGCCGCTGAGCCTGCGCATCCAGAGCCTGTGCTCTGCAACGGGAGAGGCCACAACAGTGAGAGGCCCGTGTACCGCAAAAAAAAAAAAAAAAAAGTGTGGTATTAGAATATAGACAGACATGCACAACGATGGAATAGTAAGCCCAGAAATAAACCTTCGTATATATGGTCAGATGACATTGACAAGGGTGTCAAGATGATTATATGGGAGAGTCTTTTCAACAAATGGAACTGGGAAAACCAGATATTTATACAACAGAGTGAAGTTGAACCCTTACCTAACACCATATACAAAAAAATTAACTCACAAAGCATAAAAAAATCTAAACGTGAGAGCTAAAACTAGAAGAACAACATAGGCTGAAAGCGTCATGACACTGGATTTGGCAATGATTTATTGGATAGGAAACCAAAAGCACAGGCAAGGAATTTTTTAAAAAATCAGTAAATTGGACTTCATCAAATTTAAAAACTTTTATGCATCAAAGTGAAAAGACAACCCACAGAATGGGAGAACATATTTGCAAGACATATATATCTGTTAATGGATTAACATCCAGAATATGCAAAGAATTATTACAACTCAACAACAACCCAATGTAAAATTGGGCAGAGGAGGGCTTTCCTGGCAGCGCAGTGGTTAACAATATGCCTGCCAGGGCTTCCCTGGTGGCACAGTGGTTGAGAGTCCGCCTGCCGATGCAGCGGACACGGGTTCGTGCCCCGGTCCGGGAAGATCCCACATGCCGCGGAGCGGCTGGGCCCGTGAGCCGTGGCCACTGAGCCTGCGCGCCCGAAGCCTGTGCTCCGCAACGGGAGAGGCCACATCAGCGAGAGGCCTGCGTACCGCAAAGAATACACCTGCCAATGCAGGGGACATGGGTCCGAGCCCTGGTCCGGGAAGATCCCACATGCTGTGGAGCCACATGCACCACAACTACTGAGCCCGCGAGCCTAGAGCCCGTGCTCTGCAACAAGAGAAGCCACCGCAATGAGAAGCCCGCGCACCGCAACAAAGAGTAGCCCCCACTTGCCGCAATTAGAGAAAGCCCGCATGCAGCAATGAAGACCCAAGGCAGCCAAAAATAAATAAATTAAATAAATAAATTTTTTAAAAAATGGGGAGAGGAACTGAAGAGACATTTCTCCAAAGAAACAGTCTCTTCAATAAGTGGTGCTGGGAAAACTGGACAGCTACATGTAAAAGAATGAAATTAGAACACTCCCTAACACCATCCACAAAAATAAACTCAAAATCGATCAAAGACTTAAATGTAAGGCCGGGCACTATAAAACTCTTAGATGAGAACATAGGCTGAACACTCTTTGACATAAATCGCAGCAATATCTCTTTTGATCCAGCTCCTAGAGTAATGAAAATAAAAACAAAAATTGACAAATGGGACCTAATTAAACTTAAAAACGTTTGCACAACAAAGGAAACAACAAAATGAAAAGACAACCCACAGAATGGGAGAAAATATTTGCAATCTAAGTGACCGACAAAGGATTAATCTCCAAAATATACAAACAGTTCATGCAGCTCTATGTCAAAAAAACAAACAACCCACTCAAAAAATGGGCAGAAGATCTAAATAGACATTTCTCCAAAGAAGACATACAAATGGGCAAAAAGCACATGAAAAGATGCTCAACATCACTAATTATCAGAGAAATGCGAATCAAAACCACAATGAGGTATCACCTTACACCGATCAGAATGGCCATCCATCATCAAAAAGTCTACAAACAGGGGCTTCCCTGGTGGTGCAGTGGTTACGAATCCTCCTGCCAACGCAGGGGACACGGGTTTGAGCCCTGGTCCGGGAAGATCCCACATGCCATGGAGCAACTAAGGCCATGTGTGCCACAGCTACTGAGCTGCGCTCTCGAGCCCGCGAGCTACAACTACTGAAGCCCGCACGCCAAGAGCCCGTGCTCCACAACAAACGAAGCCACCGCAATGAGAAGCCCGTGCACCGCAATGAAGAGTAGCCCCCCTCACCGCAACTAGAGAAAGCCCATGTGCAGCAACAAAGACCCAACTCAACCAAAAATAAAATAAATAAATAAATAAAATAATAATTAAAAAGAAAAAAGTCTACAAACAATAAATGCTGAATTGAGTGTGGAGAAAAGGGAACCCTCCTACACTGTTGGTGGGAATGTAAATTGATGCAACCACTATGGAGAAGAGTATGGAGGTTCCTTAAAAAAACAAAAATAGAACCACCATATGATCCAGCAGTCCCACTCCTGGACATATATTTGGAGAAAACCATAATTCGAAAAGATACATGCACCCCAATGTTCACTGCAGCACTATTTACAATAGCCAAGATATGGAAGCAACCTAATCGTCCATTGACAGAGGAATGGATAAAGAAGATGTTGTACATATATACACAATGGAATATTACTCAGCTGTAAAAAAAGGAATGAAATAATGCCATTTGCAAAAACATGGATGGACCTCAAGATTCTCATTCTAAGTGAAGTAAGTCAGACAGAGAAGGACAAATAAGATATGATATCACTCGTAAGTGGAATATAATTCAAAAAAAAGGATACAAGTGAACTTATTTACAAAACCGGAACAGACTCACAGATTTCGAAAACAAACCTATGGTTACCAAAGGGGAAACGTCCGGGGGGGAGGGAAAAATTAGGAGCATGGGATTAACATATACCCACTACTATATATAAAATAGATAGCCAACAAGGACCTACTGTATAGCACAGGAAGCTCTACTCAACATTCTGTAATAACCTATATGGGTAAAGAATCTGAAAAAGAATGAATATATGAGTATGTATAACTGAATCGCTTTGCTGTACACCTGAAACTGGCACAACATTGTAAATCGACTATACTCCAATAAAATTTTTTAAAAAAATATACAAATGGCCAATAAGCACATGAAAAGATGTTCGACATCACCAATAATTAGGGGAATGCAAATCAAAACCACAGTGAGATATCACTTCACAGCCTTTAGAATGGCTATTAAAAAAAAAAACAGAAAACAACAAGTGTTTGCAAGGATGTGGAAAAATTGGAACTCTTGTGCATTGCTGGTGGGAACATAAATGGTGCAACCACTGTGGAAAATGGTATGTCAGCTCATCAAACAGTTGAACAAAGAATTGCCATTTGACCCAGCAAATCCACCTCTGGGTGTGTGCTCAAAAGACTGAAAGCAGCAGGGATTGAACAGATATTTGTACACCCATGTTCACAGTGGCGTATTCACAATAGCCAAAAGGTGGAAACAATTTAAAAGACAATCAACTTATGAATGATAAAATGTGGTATATACATACAAGGGAATATAATTCAGTCTTTAAAAGGAATGAAATTCAGATATATGCTATAACATGGATGGAACCTTGAAGATATAATTCTAAGTGAAATAAATCAGACTCAAAAGGATAATTATTATATGATTCCACTTATACAAAATAACTAGAATAGTCAAATTCATAGAGACAAAGAAAGTAGAATGGTGGTTGCCAGGGTTTGGGTTGGGGGACTGGGGAGTTACTGTTTAATGGGTACAGAGTTTTAGTATGGTAAGGTGAAAAAGTTCTAGGTGGATAGTGGTAATGATTGCATGAGAATATGAATGTACTTATTGCTACTGAGCTGCAGTCTTAAAAATGGCTAAAATCATATATCTTATGTATATTTTACCACATTAAAAATGGTAACAGAAAAACCAAAACGAAACAAGAAGAATCTTGTGAAAGTCACACTAAAATGCCAAACCCAGGATAAGAAACTTAAGTATATTTGATTTAGAGATAAAGCTCTTATCTATTTTGCTGTTTACTGTAATGGTCTCTTATTTGATATTCTGCCCCCTGTGACCTCTATCCATTTTGCACACTGTTTGTAGAGTAATCCTCCCGGGAAGATGTAGCATGGGGCGAGTGGTCACTTACATTTCACACCCAGCCTGAGGGGGTCACTTTTGCTGGAATTGCCCTGGTTGGAGACCTCACACTGATAATCCCCGGCATCCTCCCTCCTGACGGGGTTGATGATGAGGGTGCTGTTGTCTGGGGACAGCTTCATCCTCTCTGTGAGCAGTAGACTCTGGCCATTGAAAAACCAGCATATGGAGATCCCAGTGTCATTTGTGCAGCAGGTCAGGACCACGGTATTCTCATGTTCTGTGGCTGTGGTGTTGCTGGCTTCGATGGAGGGCTGTGCCACTGGGTCTGTGGAGAGACAGAGGGGTGACTGACTGAGAATAGGTCAGGGGCCTGGGGCCACGCTCTTTCCTCAGCCACTACCGACGCCCAGTGAGCTCTGTAAAGGTGATGCAGAGATTGGCCCTGACCCTGTGAACAAGGTCGTGGGTCTCTCTTCGGGTGACGATCCATAAGGAGAGGGCTGCAACTCCTCTCTGAAACCCAGATACCCCAGGATGACCCCTGACCAGTCTCCCTGGACAGCTCTGTCGTATCGGCACCAGGAACGTCTTCTCAGCCCATATGTTTAGCATCTTCAACGTCAAGTGGGATTTTTCATTAACTTTCATTGACCTTTTTCCACAATTTTCTTTGACTTTAAAATAATTCAGGTCCCATTCCTTATATACACTTTGGAGTACACTGGGGAAGGCAGGCTTGCCAGCTCTGTGCATCTCTGGGGCCAAGGGAACTTTCCATAAAGTAGGGGAGGCATCTACTTCCTGTTAAATAATTTCTTAGACTGGCCCAACACAGTCTCCTGGACTGTAGAAGGGTTAAGTGTCCCTCTGAGCCAAGGACAGTCTTGTTTTAAAATTCCCCAACAATAACTACCCCTCATTTTCACTCATCCTGAGTCTGAGACATTAACTTTTTCTCCCATCAGAGGATGGTGACCCTGAGCCTCTCAAGACAGGAGTAGCTGTTGCCTCCCAGACTTGGCTCAAGGCTGGTCCTGCCCAGATTTCCCAGGGACAGGAAGTCATGGCCAGCCTGATATCCAGGGGTGAGTGTCCATGTACCTGGACCTGAGAGGGATGGGTGTGGTCTGGCCTCCGGCAGTGGAGATTCAGTCAGGCAGCCTGGGGCACATAGGAACAGAGGCTACTCACAGATGATATTCAGGGTGAATGGGTCACTGCGGCTGACACTCACTGGGTTCCGAGTTTCACACATATAGGGTCCTGTGTCATTCCTCATAACATGGAATAAAGTGAGAGTCCTGTTGTCCTCAGATAGTTCCAGCCTGGTGCTGTTGGGGAGGCTCTGATTGTTGACACACCACATGTGGGAGGTGTTCTGAGTCTCAGGCCCACATGTTAACACTACAGTGTCCTGCTCCATGGGGTTGGAGTTGTTGCTGGTGATGACTGGGGTGGACAACACCGCTGTGAAGACAACAGAGAGAACATTGCCCCTTTTATACCTTGATTCCTCCAATAGCATCTTCAATTAGAGTCGGCATTTCTCACCTTTGAGCCAAACTGAGTCCTTAAAGAATAAGTCAGGTCTTTGTATCACAAGACAAATGCATGAACATCTGAACTCAGAGAGTATAAGGCCACCTGCTCTATGTCTGAGAGAAAGCACAGATTTCCTCAAGTGTCTGTCATGTATCAGGGTTTGATAGCAGTAACATAGGCCTGGAAATCAGAGACCCCTTGCTTCCTCATTTAGTTTTTTTGTTTGTTTGTTTGTTTGGGTTTTTTTGCAGTACGCGGGCCTCTCACTGTTGTGGCCTCTCCCGTTGCGGAGCACAGGCTCCGGACGCGCAGGCTCAGCGACCATGGCTCACGGGCTCAGCCGCTCCGCGGCATGTGGGATCCTCCCGGACCGGGGCACGAACCCGTGTCCCCTGCATCAGCAGGCAGACTCTCAACCACTGCACCACCAGGGAAGCCCAAACCCGAATATATACCTTTTGACTCCATTCACCCATTTCACACACACCCCACTCCTCATCTCTGGCAACCACCAATCTGTTCTCTGTTTTTGAGCTTGAAGTTTTTTGATTTGTTTTAAATTCCACATATAAGTGAGATTATACAGCATTCGTCTTTCTCTGACATTTCACTTAACATAATCTCCTCAAGGTCCATACATGTTTGTAGTAAATGGCAAGATTTCATGTTTTTAATGGCTGAATAATATTCCATTATATATATGCACACCATATTATCTTCATCCATTCACCCGTCGATAGACACTTAGGTTCGTTTCACATCTTGACTAATGTAAATAATGCTGCAATAACATGAGGGTTCATAAATCTTTTCAAGTTACTGTTTTCATTTTCTTCAGATAAATTCCCAGAAGTGGAATTGCTAGGGCATATGGTAGTTCTATTTTTAACTTTTTGAGTAACCTCCATTCTGTCTTCCCTAGTGGCTGCACCAATTTACGTTCCCACCAACAGTGCACAAGGGTCTCCTTTTCTCCACACCCTCACCAACACTCGTTATTTCTTGTCTTTTGGATAACAGCCATTCTAACAGCTGTGAGGTAATATCTCATGTGGTTTTGGTCTGCATTTCCCTGATGATTAGTGGTGTTGAGCACTGTTGCCTGTACCCGTTGGCCATCTGTATGTCTTCTTTGGAAAAATGCTTACTCAGATCCTCTGCCCATTTTTTAATCAGATCGTTTGGTTATGTGCTATTGAGTTGTATCAGTTCTTTAAACATTTGGGGTATTTAGCCCTTATCAGATATATGATCTGCAAATATTATCTCCCATTCAGTAGGTTGCCTTTTCATTTTGTTGATGGTTTGTTTCCTATACTGCGCAGAAGCCTTTTAGTTTGATGTAGTCCTACTTGTTGATTTTTGCTTTTCTTGCCTTTGCTTGTGGTGTCAAATCCAAAAACTCATCACCAAGAGCAATGTCAAGGAACTTACTGCCTATGTTTATCTTCTAGGATTTTTATGGTTTCAGGTCTTACATTCAAGTCTTTAATCCATTTTGAGTTAATTTTTCTTTATGGTGTAAGATAGTCATCCAGTTTTACTCTTTTGCATGTGGCTGTCCAGTGGCAGGATGGGACTGAAAGTTCCAACCCTCTGATCACTCCTTTGGGTCCACTAGCCACCAGCCTTCATCTTTAGATGGATGCAGTCCAGTAGAGACCTCATTAACATAACAAAAGACACCTTAGTCGCTCTAAGCACTTAGGAAATTCCAAGGGTTTTAAGGAGCTCTGTGTCAGAAATGGGGATGAAGACCAAATGTATGCTTCTTATTATAAACCACAATATCACACCTCCCCTACATTCTTCAATTCCTTGATGGCACTAATCTCTGCAGTCCCTCCAGGAATGTGGTATTGCTTTTGATTTATTTTCCTAGGTCGAGGCAGTTCTAGTGGCTTCCATTTGGCCTATCCCCCCAAAACAGCCCTCACTCCACAGGTCAGGGAACCAATGTGGGGATTCTGCCAGTTGCTGAATATAGCTACTCCAATTATGCATTTCAAAACTGGGGAAATAACCACAGGATGAGTTCAGGGACCCAGTGGGTCCTTATGAGATGGACTGGAGCTAAAACTCCATTGCTTGTCTGATTTCCATACGGTCCTACTCTGACTGGTGGGCTACCGTGACATTTTGGGTCACCTGCAATCAGTGTCAGTTCAGAGCCTGCGTCCATCAATCCCCCCCAAAGTCTGGTTATGTCTTTTTCCCTGATGTATAGTCACTCTGGTAAAAGGTCAAAGGTCACTTTGGGGAAGAAATCTGGGAGAAATATTGTTGCGGTCTCGCACACACCTGCGAACTTCCCCCAGGGAGAAATCAGAACCAAGACAGAACACTAATATCCAGTGCAAATCAAGAGTAGATTAGTGATAGGAGTTTATTAAGCACAAAAGCACAACCCGATTGGGGCCTCACCAAAAGAAGGGTGAGCCCCCGAGTCTTGTACAGGTGTGGTTTTTATATCCCAGGGTAACAAGATGTTTGTTCTAATTTTGAAATATTGGGTCGGCCATCCGGAACCCAGTGTCTTCCTGTTCACATTATGCTGGCAAGCAAAGCTCAATTCCACAGAAGCCAAGTCAAGCGGTTAGCAATAAAAGCAGTTATAGTACAAACAGTTTTAAACCGAAACATTTCATCATTAATTCCAAGTATTACAATCTAAACTGTATGTTCTGGGACAGCGTGTCCCGTCACAATATTAACAGTAAAACAAAAACAAACAGGGCTTCCCTGGTGGCGCAGTTGTTGAGTCCGCCTGCCGATGCAGGGGACACGGGTTCGTGCCCCGGTCCAGGAGGATCCCACATGCCGCGGAGCGGCTGGGCCCATGAGCCATGGCCGCTGAGCCTGCGCGTCCAGAGCCTGTGCTCCGCAATGGGAGAGGCCACAACAGCGAGAGGCCCATGTACCGCAAAAAAAAAAAAAAGAATCTGCCTGCCAATGGAGGGGACACGGGTTCAATCCCTGGTCCGGGAGGATCCCACGTGCTGCGAAGCAACTAAGCCTGTGCGCCACAGCTACTGAAGACCTCGCGCCTAGAGCCTGTGCTCCACAACAAGAGAAGCCACCACAATGAGAAACCCGTGCACCACAACAAAGAGTAGCCCCTGCTCGCCGCAACTAGAGAAAGCCCACGTGCAGCAACGAAGACCCAATGCAGCCAAAAATAAACAAATAAATAAATAAAATAAATTTATTAGAAAAGAAAATCATATGTCTGTTAAGGGGCTAATGCCTAGAATATATAAAGAAACGCTACAATTCAACAACACTAAAAAACCCCCAAATTACCTGATCAAAACATGGTCAAAACACTTGAATAGACATTTCTCCAAAGAGGAAATACAAGTGGCCAACTAGCTTATGAAAAGATACTCAACATCACTAATCATTAGGGGAATGAAAATCAAAATAACAGTAGGATATTACCTCACACTCATTTTATAGTGGCCGTCATGATGGCCACTATAAAATGCGTGCATGCACACACACACACACACACACAACAGGCATGCAGAAAATAACCTGCGTTGGCAGGAATGTGAAGAAATTTTAAACTTTGAGCACTGTTGGTGAAAGCATAAAATAGTGAATATGCTGTGGAAAACAGTATATAGAGTTTCTTTCAAAAATAAGAAATAGACTCACCATATGATCCAGCAAACTCACTTCTGTTTTTTTTTTTTTTTTTTTTTTTTTTGCAGTACGCGGGCCTCTCACTGTTGTGGCCTCTCCCATTGCGGAGCACAAGCTCAGCGGCCATGGCTCACGGGTCCAGCCGCTCTGCGGCACGTGGGATCTTCCTGGACCAGGGCACAAACCCATGTCCCCTGCATCGGCAGGCGGACTCTCAACCACTGCGCCACCAGGGAAGCCCTCACTTCTGGTTTTATATCCCAAAGAATTGAAAGCAGGATTTTGAAGAGATATTTGCACATCCATATTCACTGCAGCATTCTTTACAATCGCCAAGGGATGGATGCAACCCAAATGTCCACAGACAGAGGAATGGAAAAAGAAAATGTGGTCTATACATACGATGGAGTATTATTCAGCCTTAGAAAAGAGGGTACTTCTGGACTTTATGCTAAGTGAAATAAGCCAGTCACAAAAAGACAGACACTATGTGCTCCCACGTATATGAGATGTCTAAAGTAGTCAGATACATAGAAACAGAAAAAGAACAGTGGTTGCCTGTGGCTAGGGTGGGGAGGGAAAAAAATGAGGAGTTGTTAAAGTGTAGAATTTCAGTTCTGCTGATAAAAAACGTGCCAGAGATCTGTTGCCCAACTAACAGCCTCCATATACAGCCACTGAACTGTATACTGGTTAAGGGTTATGATGGTAAACTTAATGCTCTGTGCTTTTTACGATAATTAAAGCTTTTTGAGGGATAAATTTGGGGTTAAGAACCCTGGGGGTTTTGAGAACCTCCTGCCTTGAAGGGGAGGCTCTGAGCACGGTAAGTACAAAGTGCAGGTGGTCTGAGGGTTCATTTCCTGTTTCCAATCAGCCTGCTTCAGCCTCGGGCAGTTACTCTTGGGGCCTTTGAGATGGGGGTGGAGGCCCAAAGCTCCAGTGATTCTGGAGAGTAGAGAGGCCAAGGTGGGTTAGGGCTCACCTGGATAATCCACCATAACCTTCCCGTCAATATCTTTAATGGAATCACATCAGCAAAGTCCCGTCTTTATAAGGTAACATTCACAGGTTCCAGGGATTACAACAGTGATGTCTTAGTGGGTAATCATTCAGCCTACCATACTGCCTACCTCCTGTTCATCAGATCTTGGGGGTTCTCCCCCACACAGTGGCCTCCTGTGTGCGAAGAGCATATTTCAATGTCCTTAATAAGGTCCTACTTCAAAGGGCTTCACAGGTGGGGACCACGCCAGCTCCGCCCAGTTTCTCCCGTTTCTAGTGAAGCTGCGGCAGCCTGTATTTGGCGCCATCTGGTGGACACAGCGTGCCACA